GAAAATTTTTTAAAATATTTAATAAATGTAAGACATCTAGTCGAGACAGTTTATAAAAATAAAATATTCAATAAATATAAGATATCTAGTGGAGAGCATTTAGAGCATTGTTAAAAATAATATGATACAAAAAAAGGCTTTTAGTGGAGTTGGTTTGCAAAAATAAAATATTACTAAATAAAGAAGGAATCAAGTGGAGACGGTTGGTGAAAAAAAAATTATTTTAAAAATAAGGCATTTAGTGGAGACGGTTGGTGAAAAAAAAATTATTTTAAAAATAAGGCATTTAGTGGAGGCGGTTGGTAAAAAATGTTTTTAAATTATTTAAATTTAAGAAATGTAAGACATCTAGTGGAGATGGATGTTAAAAATGAAATATTATTTAATAAATAATAGACATCTAGCGGAGAGTGTTGTTAAAAATAAAATATGATCTAAAAAAATAAGACATCTAGTGGAGACGATTGGTAAAAATAAAGATTTTTTTTAAATTTTGGCATCTAGGGGAGACGGTTGGTAACAATAAAATACACCAATATCATTTTTTAAAGGCATCTAGAGGAGACATTTGATCAAAAAATAAAAGCATAAAAAATAAGCATCTAATGGAGACGGTTTGTAAAAATAAAATATTATTCAGTGAGAAAAGGCATCTAGTGGAGACAGTAAAAATTCCCCCCAAAATTGTTGAAAAAGAAAACATTATATAATAAATAAGGCATCTGGAGAAGATGGCTGTTAAAAATATAATATTACAAATTTTAAAACAGACATCTAGTGGAGACATTTGATGAAAAAAAAACTTTTTAAATAAAAAAAAAGGGCATTTGGTGTAGCTAGATGGTTGATAAAAATATAGTGGAGACAATTAGTAAAAGGATTTTTATTTGAATAATATAAGACATCTAGTGGAGACTGTTGACAAAAATAAAATAGTATTCCATAATTAAGGCATCTAATTGAGACGGTTGGTAAAGAAATTAAATTTTAAAAATTACACATCTAATGGGAACGGTTGGTAAAAATAAAATTTCATTTAATAAATAAGGCATCTACGTAAGACTGTGAGTGAAAATAAAATATTATTTGTGAGGCAGCGTGGTGGAATCAGGCTCTCGTCAATTCTGAGGCATGTAGAGGTATTGGTATCATCTTACAGCTTGTTCACTTGTCTTTTTTTTGGAGGAAAAAAATATCCATTTACTTTGAATACAAGTCGAGATATTTGCAAATAAAGGAGGTTGAGGTCACCTGTTTTCAGAGGTAAAATTAGTGAGAAAAGGGTCGCCAAAGATTAGTTATTTCCTTTGATTAAGAGTCCGTGGTAACTGAAAATGTACATTTTTCGTGAATTTAATCAACGTTTTTCAGAAAAATCCACACAGAAATGAGTGCTTTAATGGGCATGAAAGGTGTTCAGCCAAAAAACGAAAATTTGATAAACATTCACAAACCTGTGGAAAAATGCAAGTTTCTTCACTTTGATTATTTTGACGAGAGCCTGATTCCACCACGCTGCCTCACATTTTATAAATGTAAGACATCTAGTGAAGACGGTCGGTAAAAATTAAGTAAAGAGCGTTGATAAAAGTAAAATATATTTGTTAAAAAATAAGGCATCTACTTGAGAAAGTTGGTGAAAATAAAATATTATTTGCATCTACTGGAGACGTATATATATATATATATATATATATATATAAGGTGGCATCTAGTGAAGACGAATAAAAAAAAGTATTTAATAAATAAAGGCATTCAGTGGTGACGGTTTGTAAAAACAAAATATTATTTTAAAATATGGCATCTAGTGGAGACATTTGGTGAAAAAGTTAAAAGATTTTTTTTTAAAGGCATCTAGTGGAGACCGTTGATAAAAATAAAATATGATTGTTAAAGATAAAAATAGTATTCAATAAATATAGCATTTTAGTGGAGACGGTTTTTTAAAATAAAATATTGCTTTTAAAAATTGGCATCTATTGAAGACATTTTGGTGAAGAAAAAAACCCACACAAAAATAAGGTATCTTGTGGAGATGGTTGGTAGAAATAAAATATGAAAAAATAAGACATCTAGGCGAGACATTGGATGACAAAAAACGCTTTATAAAGAAGGCATCTAGTGGAGACGGTCGGTTAAAATAAAATATTGTTTAATGGTAGAAAATGCACTTAAAGAAGACGATTGGTAAAATTGCAACAAAAAAAGGCGCCTAGTATAAAATATTATTTTCAAAATTCATCATCTAATGGAGACAGTTGGTAAAAATAAAATAAAAATTTGAAATAAAGAAAAGTCGTCTAGAGACGGTCGGTAAAAACCAAATATTATTCCAGAAGTAAATGACACCTAGGGGAGAGCGTTGGTAAAAGGAATTTTGTTTATATTTGGCATCTAGTGGAGACAGTTAGCAAAAAAACCAAATAATTGAATAAATAATGACATTTAGTAGAGACGGTTGATAAAAATAAAATATTATTTAAAATTAAGGCATCTAGTAATTAGTTTCTTTTTAAAAATAAGGTTTCGAGTGGAGACGGTTGTTGAAAATAAATAATTATTATTCAATAAATAAGGCATCTAATGGAGACGGAAAAAATTATAATATTGTTTTTTAAGCTTAACCCATAACCCCTAACCCCTAAACCCCGACCCCTAAACTCTAACCCCTAATCCCAAAATTCTAACCCCTAACCCTAACCCGTAACTCCTAACCCCTAACTCCTAACCCCTAACACCCTAACCCCTGACCCAGAACGGATGTAGGGGTATGGAGTTAGACATATGAATGAAAACAAATCCTAAATTCATAATTTTTTGTTTAATTTGAGCGGCCACGAGACAATCCTACAATCCTCACCACACAGTGCCTCTACAATCCTACAATCCTAACCACACAGCGCCTCTACAATCCTACAATCCTCACCACACAGCGCCTCTACAATCCTCGGGGATTATGGGATCAGCTACAGTGACAGTGACAGACATTGACAGTGACAGTGACAGTGACAGTGACAGACAGTGACAGTGACAGTGACAGTGACAGACAGTGACAGTGACAGTGACAGTGACAGTGACAGACAGTGACAGACAGTGACAGTGACAGACAGTGACAGTGACAGACAGTGACAGTGACAGACAGTGACAAAGACAGTGACAGTGACAGACAGTGACAGTGGCAGTGACAAACAGTGACAGAGACAGTGACAGTGACAGAGACAGTGACAGAGACAGCAACATCCCTCTCTGCCAGAGTATGCCTCCAACAGACAGCGTCAGAAACCCACCACCTAAATGATGGAAATTCTCTCAATACGTACATCGTAAAATTACCTACATTTTCTTTGTGATACTTCAGCAGAATTTCTCTGTGCACACCAGGCATTTTGGGAGTGTCAGTTTCCGTGAAGTCACACCAGGTGCATCTGTCAGCCGAGAGCTTTTGTGGTTCATCACAAGCAACAGAACCAATGACCCGTCAATGTTTGCGAGTTCCAAAAATGACAAACAGCTCATTGTGCCGTGTTTTGTACATCCATTTATTGACAGCCAAACGTGTGAAACTCGCGCCAGAAAAGATCTGGAATGTACATCAATAAATAACATCGGACGGACTTGTTCACCTCACAGCAAAACTTTGCTGCCACAATATCCACACTGTACACATTTTTAATACACATACAAATATATACGCTACCAGCTCCTTATTCAAAGTATTTTTATTTCAGATTTACAGCAAGCAGAAACTTTTGGCTGCTTTGACAACTACCTTTAAATATATATATATATACAACAAGCACATTCTCAAATCATGCCCAAAAAAGGCCAAAAAAGGCCTATGTGTCACCAATGAGTTAGAAGAAGAAGTAATTTCATGAGGTCAGCATGTTCCCCATTCCACGGCCCACTCATCACGTACATTACAGGACCAGACCAACATTTGCTCGGCTGTCATCATGTTGGCTGTCAGTACAGATGAGCTTAGTTTGAACTTTCAACAAGCCCTGCAGACTTCTACAACCATCCAACAGAAAGTCTGTTATCTCCTACAGACTTCTACAACCATCCAATAAAAAGTCTGTTATCTCCTACAGACTTCTACAACCATCCAATAAAAAGTCTGTTATCTCCTACAGACTTCTACAACCATCCAATAAAAAGT